CTTGCCTTGGGGAAAGGAAGGCCATGGCAGGAGGCAGGGAGGTTTTCAACGTTGAAACATACCATGTCCGCCTCCAGGGAAGAACTAGGACTCTTTCGGCTTCAGGCAACATCTCATCAGTCTTTGCAGAATGTGTCCTCTGCTTCTCTCTTAACATGTTTCTTTTTTGTCTTAATGCAGACAGGGAACACAACCTTTGCAGATTGGGGGAGGGGGTGATTTTCTAAAAATCATTTGACTAAAAACCAGGGTTCAAAACTCTTAAAACATGAATCAAAATAATAGGCAGAGGCAGCAGACCAGGTTTCTTGATGAGAATGTGAATGAATGCAGTGTATCAGAATTTCACGCCAGCCCTGTGTGCATTCCAGGTAGCATTTCAATGAACTGTGTCTCAGTTAGTTATTCTACAAGACATTTGACTAAAAGTCAGGGTTCAAAACTCTTAAAACATGAATCAAAATAATACGCAGAGGCAGCAGACCAGGTGGACATCTTAAAAGCCTCTGCTACCTTGGAATCACTAAAAAGCATCCCGAGATTGTTGACTTCATACACTCTTTAGGTTATCTTTCAAGGTTAACGGTGTAAAAATTGTGATCATATACTTGTGAGCATCAGAATTTCTCCACATTAGAAACAAATTTAAAAAAAAAGAAATTGGATACTAACACTGACAAATATCTATAAATTCCAACAGCAAAGCATTATCTGTTCTGTGTTTGGTCTTTGAAGAACATAAATCCAAATGTAAAATCCACACACACACTTACTTAACTTGCCATATTGTTTGTCCACAATATGGCATTCCATGTTTAAATAGTTGGAGATATAAGGCAGGTTTGGGTATGGAAACACGCAGTCAACTCTATTCTGCAAGCTAGAGTGTTGACTAAGTGTGGAAAGCCGCCCAGGGCCAGACAGAACAACTTTGCTCCATCTTAGATGCCCATTTCCTGTGGTGGGAAAGTCTGCATGGCTCCCAACTAACTCGATAGTTACAGGGTTCACTGGGGAGTCAGCCACGTTGATGGGAGACAGGACTCGAGTGTAGCGAGCCTTCCAGAGAGGCCCTGTTCAAAGTCTTCACCTCTGCCACTGCCGACCCCGCTTCTGCCGTACCCAGAGAAACTCTGGAGATGGTCGCCTGAATGCTTATTTTCTCAAAAGCTGCGTCTCGTTTACAAGTAATACCAGAGCCATCTTGTGAGCTCAAAACTGTTCTCAAATGGCTGATGGACTGTCTATCACCCTCATCCACCTCTGCCTAGAGCTAGCCCCAACCGACAAGGCAGGTGGCTGCTGGAGCGTACCAAGGGAGCCAGGTCCTCCACATCCCACCAGATCCCATCTTAAGGGCAGGGGCCTGGCCAGCCATTGCAGGTGCCCATTTCATCTCCTTGAGCAGTTCTGACTGTCCCCTTCATGCTGGAGGCTGCTTCTGCCCCCATGTGCTCAAGCCACTTTTCCTAGCTCTACCACTTGGCTTTCTGCAGTTGACGTGTCTCCAAACCAATTTAAGTCGCCAAGAGGGTAGCCCGGGTGTGCTCTTTTCGAAGCTGAGGACAAGTGCAAAAGCCCTGAGCACACACTGCCGGGCGCCGAGCAAGTATACACAAAATCCTATCGTTGTCATCACCGTTGCTACTCACCCTAAAGCAGGATAATCAGTTGTATAACGTTAAAAAAAAATTAAGAGATGAGGTCTCACTATGTTACTCAGGCTGGTCTTGAACTCCCGGACCCAAGTGATCCTTCCATCTCAGCCTCCTGAAGTGCTGGGGTTACAGGGGTGAACCACCGTGCCATACAGCCAGTTGTATGATCTTCAGCGGTTTACATGAGTCGTCCGACTAATGACTATTTCCGTTACTCTTTCAGCCAATCTCCATCGCACCTAATGAAGCCCTTTCCAACTGGGTTCCTCTCCTGGGATGAGAACACCTGTGGCCTAGATTCCGCTGTGAGTGTATCCAAGTGTGACCTGATCACAACAGAGTGTCATCCTCTCGCCTCACAATTTGATCCATGTAGTCCAAACTCACATCAGCTTCCGGCAACTACATGCTGTCATGGCTAAAAGAACGCAAAACCTCTTTCACACATACTGTCACCAAAGGCTCTGTTTTAACATCTAGAATCCACTCAACACTGTTCCAAAAAACTGTGAGTCAATCTGCATTTCCCCAAAGGAGTGCCCTACATTTAAAGTGCTCAGCAGCACAGCACACAGGTCCACAGGGGTTGCTCAATTTGTTAGATTGACCAGAATGCCACCGAGTTCCCAGAAGTTTACTCGTGTCCACACTTACTCAACGATGTTCCCTGCAAGGGAAGGTCTGGGGACAATGAGGTCCCCCAGGTGGCAACACTGAGGAAACACCCCTGATGCCAGTAAGATACACCCGAGGTGCCAAAAGGACGAGGTCCCTCTGAACTGCAACAGCTGTATCTGTTCAGGCTGAGACAATGATCCAAGTACAGCCAGCCCAGCTCTTCTGTCCCTTCTGAGGGGACAACCCGAGTACCCAGATTTAGGCCTCAAGATAGAAAGGACACCCATGTCTCCATGGCAGGCAGGGCTTGTGTGGGAGGAGTCTCCCACCCCAAAGCTTGACCCCCCGTACCTGACCTACGATGAACCCAACGTTTGGCATCAAGAGCATTTGGGGGCAGAAAATCACAGAATCAAACTGAAAACACAGGTCAGTAGGAATCCATTTCTGGGTCTGCTCTTCAGGCTGTTTTCACCTGAGGGGTGAAAGGTTAACTCCACAGTTTTTTGAGGCTGGGGACCCAGTTGGCTGTTACTGAGGTAGTTGGCCCCCAACACCAGTGACAGATTATGAACCAAGGGTGACAAATAAAAAAAGTGTTGACACACACACTACAACATGAACATTATGCTAAAGGACAGAAGCCAGAGGACCACATGATGACCAGTTCCATTTCCACAAAATGTCCAGAACAAGCAATCCATAGTGACAGAAAGTAGATGAACAGCTGCCTAAACCTCCGGGGAGGAGAGGGGGGAGTTGGTAGGGTAACAGTGAAGCGGTGTGGAGTCTCATCTTGGGGTTAAAAAGGAAGTTTAAGAACGTTTAGTAATGGATGTATAACTCTGAATAGATGCAAGGACACTGAACTGTGTGCTTCAAATGGACAAATGACATCTCATAAAGACCCCGTTGGAAAAAAAATCAAGTTGTTAAAAATCAAGTATTCAACATCATTTACTGTGGGAAATTTGTAATACTGGTTTCCAGGGGTTGTAGCTAGACCCCAACACATTTCAGGAAGGAGAATGGCCTTGCTCAAGCCCTGTCCACATCCCTCCACATAACTTCTGGTGGGCAGCCTGCCAGAATTTTATACTTAAGGCCAAAACAGAAGTGAGAATTTTAAAAAATCATTTTGTGTTGGAACATGTAATTCAGATTTCTTAGAACCAAGTAAACTAGGAGAATGGACTCAGGAATCAGAGGTCCTACAGTGTTATCCCAGCGACCCAAGCTCCAGCTGGGGACCAGGACACCCTGGGCCTGTTACAGAGGCCCATGTCCAGTGCCTCGGGGTTCTGCACCCCTCCGGGTTCAGGGTCCCACACCGCACAGGAGGCCTGGTTTTCCCTTGGAATCGCATTGGAGATTTTGTTCTATGATACTTGAGGTAACAGCCAGTGAGTATGAGTACCCGCTCTGTGACAGCAACATGTCTGGTAGTTGTTCTGAGGAGCTTGTTCTGAGGAGTTTGGATTTAATAAATGGTTGTTAAATCTGAAACCTCAGGATCCAGATAAGAAACAGTGAACAGGACAGTATCACACAAAGTCATCAGGGACCAGGACAGAAAATGCAGAGAAGGCAGGGCACAGGCAAAGATGGGGCAGTTTCAGAAGACCGTGAACTGTGATACAGTCTGATGAACCTTAGAGACAGGTCGACCAGGCACAAGAACTTACTACTGAACACGTATCTTCTCCTGTAAGAAACTGTAACAACTTTCCCCATCTTTTGATTCCTTAGTCATTTTATTTTATAAAACACACCATCTACTTCTCCGGTGAAACATGGGCACACACATACACATTTTGGTGAGATGACAGAGAAAGCAGCAATTTTACTGGATCGTTCGATGTGATGCCAAAACACAGAACTGGTGTCAGCTGAAGGAATGGCCTGATTTGGTCCTGGTTGCTTCCTTTAGGTGAAATCTCAATCGATGAAGGGGAAAGTTGAGGAGGAGGAATGCATGACAGTCCCAAGAAAACTACCAGATTTTTATACCTGATCACCCACCAACTGCAGCAGATACCAAGTAGGAAAAGGAAAAAAGGCACTCGTTTTGCCGCCTAAATATCTGCAATTTTATTTTCGCATTAGAGAAAGAACATGTTTCTAGTTTGAAGCACAAAGCAGTTTATTTGCACATTAACTGATGATGATGGAGCACGGGCAGTCCCCAGGCAAGGCAAGGTGCTGATCCCGAGTGCGTGGCCCCAGACCTGCCCGACAGGCATCAGACTTACCAGACCAGTGGGGGACAGACGGGGCACTCCAGCACTCAGCCACGATGACCTCACATTGAAGAAGCTCCAGTAAGTAGGTCCAAGTTAGTGTTCATGCGGCAGGTTGAGAAAGAGCTACTTTAACTATCCTATTAGGTACAGGCATCATGCTCTTCATTACTTTTTGATCCAATTCCAAATTACAACTTACTTCTTCCTGAAGGATCAGCTTTACTCTGGTTTGGCTTCAGGAACATGGTGATGGAGAGCTTATCACCCTTTTTCACCTCTGAGGTCTTTAGATAAACTTTTGCGACTTTAATAACCTGTGCCTGGCGATCCCTTGGGCGAGCCTATTATTTGAGAGACAGAATACAGAAAGCCACTCTGGCATGAGGGTGGCTTGGGGGAAGGTGTGCATAAAATGTGGATCTTAAAAGGAAGGAAACATTCTGAAGGGTCAGAACATATTTGAAACTCATGCCACATAAAATAGGTGTCATTTTTACTTTATTTATGGAAATGGGGGGTGGGGACAACAGTAATTTTCATAATACACAGTAGACAAGTTAGCACTGCAGGAAAAAAAAAAAAAGGCTGTGTACTTGCCACCAGTCTGCTTTGCAGCTTTAATAAAATTGTAAATTAGTAAATGTAATGCAGTTTGTCACTTGTATTACTATTTAGCAAATTTATAATTGGCAAAATTAGGGATTATGAATCACCATAAATGTGCTACAACTAAGACAAAAACCTAAATAACCCATAAGTCACTTAAAATAAATCATAAATATGTGATGCACATTAGTGTAACAAAACTTTTTTTGTAAACATTTTCTCCAACATAACATGTGCATGAGAAAAAAGTAAAAACACTGCACTCAATACAGAAAGGGTTACTTTGATTTAAATACAGAAAAGTATTACTTATTAAAGCTTTGACTAAACCTAGAGACACGTTTGTGTTTTGCTTTGAAGAGCGCTGCTCTAAGAGTTCAATGTTCCGTATGTAATGGTATCATCATAATACTGCTTTCTTTTGTAATTCTGCCGTATTGGCACTTCTGTGGATAATTCACTACCCTGTAAAAAGGGGGGAGAAAAATCATTCCTTCCCTAAAAGAATCTGAAAAATTTCAACAGTTCACAATCTTCTGTGGAGAAACCTCACTGGGCACCTGCATCACGCTGTAGCAATTCACTCTGGTTTACAAGGTGGTGAGGCCAAGAAGGAAAGGAAGATACAAAAGCTAAGCAAAGGACACCCCAGGAGACGCCCAGAAGGACAGAGGGCTACCCACTTTGTAAACCAAGCCCAGTAATGGATTCAACTGAGATCACCTCCCACACTGAGAGCGCCCACTGGGTACCCAGCACTGTGCAAGTAAGACAGGCACAATTCGGCTTGAGCTGGATTCCATCACCACTTAAGGGAGAGCCTGTTTCTGTCAAGTTCTTAGTAATTCTTCAGTAATTTCAGCGAAACACCATTTGTATTATTTCCACAACACTGCTTGACTCACAGACACGGAGTTGCAAGTCTGAATCGATAAGACTACACCGCCACATCCTTCATTCGTGCTTACTACTGGCATCAGCCGTCGAGTGTTTCTTCAGAGATATCTGCCCACCTGTCATCGTCCTCTAAAGCCAGGGCTGAGGCCAAAATCTACCGTGCCTTTCTTCTTCCTCTTGACCCGTACTTGTGTGTGTTCACAGTGGCACATTTCACCTTATGAAACACATGAGAAAAACCAACAGGACTTTCGTTCTGACTAAAGTCCTATGGCGATGGGAGCCAGACTGCCTCCAGTCCCTTTCAAAGGTGAGATTATCTTTTCAATCTTCTCTAGGTTAACTGCAAACTAGTAAAAAGAACCAGCTATTTCTGGCTTTGGCTTTTAGCACTACTCCAAAATCACGCAAATCAAAGATCCCTCTCCATCTCCTTGTCCCTCTCAGAAGAGTAAGGCTTTCTCAGCTTATCTCGTGTGTACAACCTGCTGTTTTGTCTGCATTTGTGAATGTATGTTTTTACTAGATTTCTGTGGTTCAAAGGAGAGCCTTTGGCAAACATGCTAACTGGGAGGAAGAGAATGACAGTGGTCAGAGAGGGCACCAAGGGAGTGGAAGCAAACAGGTACAAATGGCTGTTCTGTTTGGGGAAAAAACAGGAAAAACCCCATCTTCATGATATCAAAGAAAATTAATCACCAAGGAGGAAGATTAAGCCAACGAAACAACAAACTTCTGTGACGGAGGTTAAAGCAATGTCACGCAACATTCCCACTTAGATCTCAACAAGACGGCAGAACTGTGACACGGAACATTACTCCTTTACCAAGACATCCATTGATACCCTTAGGGGAGCGGAGTGATGACCATGAAACCATGAAGCAGATTCTTACTCAAGACATTTATTACAAATGTCATGAACATATTCATAAAGTAAAACTGGTTTAAAAAACAGAGAACAAGAGAGCAAGTGAGAAAACGAGAAAAGTCAGGACTCTGATATTACACCTAAAACACAGGAAGATGCTGACTTTATGAATAAGCAGAATTAACTACATTCTTAAAATAGTTTTAGTGCATTGCATTTTTAGAAAAGAGAAATGCCCCACCCCCAAGAAAAGGTTCCTGCGACACTGAACAGTTTGTGTGACTATTCTAAATGTAACCACCTGTCTGCTTCCAAACCCCAAATCGAGAACAATGAGATCTCATGTCATGGGCTGCAGCCGCTCCATCAGCCTCTAGGGGTGAATCTGGTGAAAATAAAGCTTTCTGCTTTCTAAACTTAGAAAGCAAATTGCATCAGCCGTTAAGGCAGGCTATTTCCCATCTTCACGGACAATTCTTCTTGTGCCTGCTGAGATTTGTGACAGTAACAGTCAAACTTCAATCTGATAGTTTTGGTATTAAGATTAAATTAAACATCAATGGTTTCCTCCCCAAACATATAAACTAAATCACCTCTCAATGTATTAAAAACAACGAGGTAGGCAAAAAAATAAACATGTGGTTTGAATTTTTTTTTCTTCTGCCAGTGCAGACTGTGGTAAATCTGTTGTTGCACTTCTAGGTTTAAATAAAAATTAAACCTTTAACTGAGGCAGTGCTAATACTGTCACACAACAAAGTTCTGGCCATTATACAAAATGCACACATTTTTTCTTTTTTCTTTTTTTTTTTTAAAAGAACCATCTCCACATGACTTAGGCAAAACCTGGTACACAGAAAAATGACTGGGATATTGGCCAGGACCCCCCGCCCCCATCCAAAGAAACAAAATGGGACCCCTTAACCCATCCCACCCCATCTCCCAAGTCCCACCCACAAAAAAGTATCCTATTAACTGTCTTTCACATTTTATAAATATTAACTTCTTAAACCTGCACCTTCTTCTTTGTCCACATATTGTCACATTACAAAAAAGAAATGGCAATTAAATACACTGTTAATGTTACTATATTAAATCTGCTCTTTGCTTCAGCCAACTGCTCCTTTGACCACCATTTCTCACCTCCTTGTGCCCATTGCCAAATAAAACCAATGGCATTTCATTGTCGCCACTGTCAGACACCCACAAGACAGAGTCTTTCAGAGACAAGGAATTCTGGAGCTGCAGGAAAGGTGTTGGCTTTCCAGTCTGATGCTCAATCCCAAACACTGATAGCACCTGATGGTAGAATCTGAACAGCACCAGCTGCATCGCAGCCTTGATTTATTTTGGAGTAAGAAAAAAAAACGGGGATAAACTGGTAACAAAGGAAAAGGAAGGAAGGGAGAAAGAACCCAACGCGTGAGGTCTGCACACACAGCTGTCCTGGTTCCCCTTGGTGCAGCTCCGAGCTCCAGTTGCAAGGAATTCCGAGTTCTCAGGATCTTGAAGACTCCGGAGGCCAGCAATCTCTGGATCACACTGCTTCTACCAGCTCAGAAGGGAAGTCCTGCCTAAGGTCATGAAATAAACCTGACTGCTGCCACCAGACCGAACAGAGGCAAAGAACACCTGCAAAAGCAAGAGAAGAGGAGAGAGCATGGTTACCACAGCCCCACAGCCCCTTCCGGGAGAGGAGGTTTCCTGTGGCTCCCACCAGAGAACCTCAGCCACCCTCATCCTCAACACCGCCAGTATAGGAAGCTTGGACCCCACAAAGCGTTTTCAAAGAAACTCTAGGATGTCAATTATCGTTTGTAAGGAGTGACTAGCTGCAGCCAGTTTTTATTACAACTAAGGCTTATCAACCAGGTAGCTCCTTAAGCTTATACTTTGCCATACTGAGAATACCCAAAGGAAAAAAAAAATGGATGTTTCCAAATCTGAGTTATTTCTTTCCATTTCCACTGTTAATGCCTTCTAAAAAACAAATGTATTTTAAGAAGTGCAATGAGCAACAGGGAAGACTACTTAGCAATCTAATTTCTCGTTTTAAAGATTAAGTTAAAATATATTTAATTACATCACATGACTCTAGTTAAAGCAATATAATCTATTGTGTGCCTTTTATTAATATAGGTTAAGGGACACAACATCATACATGATAAAAAATATTTAGGCCAGGCGCGGTGGCTCAAGCCTGTAATCCCAGCACTTTGGGAGGCTGAGGTAAGAGGACTGCCTGAGCCCACCGGTTCAGGACCACCCTGGGCATCTTCAGAAGACCTCATCTCCACAATAAATTAAAAAATTAGCTGGGCATGGTAGCACGCATCTGTAGTTCCAGCTACTTGGAAGGCTGAGGCGGAAGGATTTCCCGAACCCAGCAGGTCAATGCTTGGGTGGCCGTGAGCATGCCACTGCACTCCAGCCTGGGTGATGAAGCGAGACTCCAGCTCAAAACAAAAAACAAAAAACAAAAACAACAACCAAAAAACCGTGAAGTTCAAAGAATGTTATGGTTATGGCTACAGTAAATATATGTAAGAAAGTATAAGCCAAAAAACTGACAAAATCCTGGATAAGGTCTGAGTTGTAGATATTTTCAAGATAACAGATTTGGGAGATACTCTGTAGGTGAAAAATGTGAACCCCACTTGCAAATGAGCTGGAGGACTGCAGGAGAGACTTGGCTGACGGTGGTGTGACTCTGGTGTTTAGTACGTGGTTGGACAGACAGGCCCAGGTACCAAGAAGAGATCTGTAGCTCTTCTTTGTAATGTGCAATTAGTAAGTTGGCCTGAGAAGACAACGTATAGGCTGGTTGCCAGGATGTATAATATAAATAACTGTATTTATATCCAACATGAAGCAAGAGGTGAAAATGTTTGTCAGAGGCAAGATTCTATAGTGTGTGCCTCATGTAGTCAGACACGCCTTCGTCCAACTAGTCAGAAGAGGGAGAGGCTGGGCTTGGTAAAAATCAGCTCCACCCTTGATGCCCTCTCCCTTGGCAGGCTGGGACGGTTCAAAGCCCCTGGCTATTTATCTGTTCCACTCCAAAGTTGGCTTGGGAGGGTGTCCCTGGGAGTGAGTAGCCCCTGAAAGTTTTGAAAAGCCAAGGGGTTTGGATATTGTAGAGTCAAAGGTGCTGGAGGTATGGTGCTTTTGCATAAGATGATCTCTACTGTGAAGCATTTCTGACATGCAAACCTAAGAAGCTATTTCACCACTTGTAGACTGACAAGAGGTATCTTCCTGACACACACCAGGGGAGAGGAACCTTTTCCTCTACCCAAATTGCAGGGATGGTTCCTTCCATTCACAAAAAGAATTTCATCCCACTAAATTAGTAGCTTTAATCTTCCCTATGTCTAAACCAAATATAGACTAAACAGGCCACCTAATGAGGTTTAAAATAACGCATAAAACCCAAGACATGATAATTTCTACAGAGAAAAATATCTCTATCTCCTCATACCAAGAAAGCAGATAAAATATACCCTAATCTTCACAGACATGGCTAAAAAGCAATGTTTAAAAGATTTCCCTGATTAATATATGAGATCAAAGCTCCAAGGAAATTAATCACCACGTTCCATGAAAAATAAACCACTGCTAAAAGACAGTGGCAACCAAGACAGAAGCCATAATGAAGCCATTACCTTGTCATTGCGCTCACACAAGAATTTTAGTCTTTGAGCCCTTTTGTGCATGAACACACCATCCAAGTGACCGGTTTCCACAGATCGGATCTCTATGGCCTTCTCTCCCCAGCCCATTGTCTGATTGGATCGAATGTATGCTTTTGAAAAGGGGAAAATTGTAAATTGTTAAAGGAGACAGCTTTGAAAACAGGTTGCTTATATGACACATAAAGATACCTATACACACCCCTATAAAGGCCTACCTAGCATTTAAGGATTTTTTGTTTTCAAGGAGCTCTGCCTTGTAACTGCCTGCACTGGGAAGGAGTCATGTGCATCAACGGTTGTATCTGTTAGTTTCCCTTGGCCATTCATACCTGAGTTGAGGGCACATATGTTTATCACTCCAGGCATGAAAGAAGGCAGGAAAAGAAATGTTGAATAGACAGAGACCGTAGCCCAACTGCAATAAAATCAAAATAGCCTGGGGCTATAAAGCCATGGAAACCCGGAAAATCAGCCTGTCCTCCTGAACACAAACCAGAAGGCCACGTACAGGCTGTGCTTCTAGTGGCAGCTCTGCTCCTCTCAAGAGCACGTCATTTCTTTTTCTGTCTCCCTTGACCAATTCTGTCAGGATTTTTTTCATGGCACCAAGCTCTCCTTTCACATCTTGAATTGTTCCACTGATTTCTCTGTGTTGGTTTTCAGCTTCCTCTTGGATCTCGTTGAGCTCCTTTAAAAATCAACACTTTGAATTCCTTACCTGGTATTTTAAGGGTTTCACTTTGGTTGGGATTTGCTTGTCACGGGAGAGTCAGTGTGCCCTTGTGGAGGGAAAACGCTTTGTTTTCTCAAACTTTCAGAGTTGTTTCTTTGCTTCCTTCTCACCTAGATTAACTGTCTTTCTTCGGATGGAATCTTCCCCTTTGGTGAGTTGGTGCTAGAGTGCTGGGCAGGGTCCTCTGGCTTTGGTTCCAGTTCTTCCGCTGGTGACTGCTCTGTATGAGCTCCTTGGACAGCACAGCCTGTACATGTAGGCTTTCCCGAATGTCTTTACCAGTTCTCTATCTACCTTTACAAATGAGTCCACACCACATCTACCCTTTTTTCTCTGATGTTTTAAGGATAAAATGAGAGACTGTGATAAGAGGGGTTTTTTAAAGTATAAACATAACTTGGATTTTGTTCTAAAATAGATCTATAACTGTTTTCACTGACTACATTCAAACTTTCCACCATCTATTGCCAACCAGAGCCACAATGTTTGAAAAGACATGCAAAATCAGCATGATAAACATTTGCAGGCTTACACAAGACTCCACTTTCCCTGAGAGCTGCGTACCTACGGACGTGGGCATCTCTCCCCACTGCAGAACCACATCCTTGGTGATCCTTCCATATGTGTTCACATAAACCCCCTCGTCTTCATAGCACACCAGAAGCTCCATTCCATCTGTGTTGGGGAGGATGATGATTGCATGGGGTTTGATGCTACACTGGATCTAGAGAAGAGGAACAAAGTGCAGGGAGGCATGCTTGTAGCTATTTCCGGCCTTGTGAAAATGCTCAGTAAGATTCTTGATGAATGCATTAGTTCTGTATTCCCAGTGATAAATAAAGCAATCAGATAATATTGTGGAAAAGCCATGCAATACATAGCCTTAAGTCTACCTTTCTCCGGTCATATACCCTACTGGCTCATGTTTCATGAGGCCCTTAAAACATATTTGGATGGTGGGCTCCATTTGAAAATTACTCTCCACCCAGGGATGTTCTGGCCTGCCAACAACTGCCCCAAATTCATCCCATGTTAGTCAAAGTAAGGGCTAAGAGATTTTCAGGAGGGCTTCCTAGAGCCAGGAATGTAGATTTCCACTTGTCTCAGCACGGAGCTATTGAAAATGGCACACCATTTAAATACTCACCCCCAGACCAAGGGGAAATGAAGAATTCCTGCTTGTGTTAGTTCACTAAGCAGAGTAAAGAAAAGTCAAAACAAAATGAAGCCAGTCAACCAACCATAGAGTGTGGGTTCTTTCTTACGTGTGTTGGTAGATAAATGTCATAGACTGATCCTGAGTCCACATCAACAGCATGGAATCCAGCACAGGATCCATAGATCACTTTCAACCTCTGGCCTTCCTCAACAGTGAGATCCACCAATAATGGCTTATGTACCAATTCTCCAAATGACTACAAAGAAGCAATGAGAGAGAAGCAGTAAGACGAAGGAGAACTTACTTCTAACAGATCAATCTAGGGAAGCTAGACCCAAAGTACTCAGTTATTAAATTACTGAGCCACACTGGCAACAATCCTAAGGCAAAAATGCTCTACAAAGTAAGTCTTTACTATGTTTTTGTTAGTTCATTAGCATTCAAAAGACAATGCTTCCGGAAGTTGTCCGAAACCCCCCATCTGGTCTAAGATTTCTGCTCTGTTACTACTGCCCTTCTGTTTTTCTCGATCAGAAAAACATGCAGAGTGAAATAATGAGGATTTTCTGTACCATCCTATCTGACTATTCAAGTGCACAGTGAAGTGAGAAGAGAAGCTGCAGGAGTCACATGCTGAGAGTTTGATCACTATTCTCACTCTAGTCACTATTCAAGCTATAAGACCTCTAATTTTTGACCTGACTGAAATGGTGAGAAAGGTTGCATGTACTGTACAACAGTCTGTATTGTGCTGGATCACCAATATCAATAACCACAGATCACAAGACTAGGATAATGATGACACAGATTTCTATAAGATAGTATTTATTAAAGCAACTAGTATCTGGTATATAAAGGATATTATGACTAAATCTAAGACAATAATGTGACTTTATAACCAATTATCTTTATTCAACAACACTACGGTTAATTTTTTTTAACATAAATATGCTAACTCCATTTGTCCTGTTTCACTGGGAAATCAAGCAATAACCAATCCAAAAATGCAAATTTTCCAAATAACTGAAACTTACCCTTTAAAAAAAAAAAATCAAAAACATTTAAACACATTGCCAGGCAATGTGAGGTAGATCTGCAACCATATTATGAACTGACAAATAACTGGAAACAATCCTAATTTTAAGACAAAGTGCCCAATTATTTATTTTCCTAAAATGATACACATGAAAAATCATCTTAATTTATATACATTAGTTTAGATGTTACAGCTACGGACTTTTTTACTTAAAAAAAGGAATCATACGTATTTTAACTTGCTTTTCCCACTTAATAGATAATAATATACATTCTTTGTGTTATTAAGAATTTCTGTAGTTTAATTTTTAATTAGTTCTGTATCGAATAGATACAGCTTAAAACTACCTGTTGTTGGACACCTTTTTGTTATCAAAAACACATTGAAATCTTTATACGCATCCACAACTTTAGGTGAATGTCGCTTTTTATTGTATTGTGTGAATCGGGGTCTCACTCTGTTACCCGGGGGGAGTGCAGTGACACAACTGCAGTTCACTATGGCCTCGATCTCCTGGGCTCAGGTGATCCTCCCTCTTCAGCCTCCTAAGTAGTTGGAACTATAGGCATGCACCACCACACCTGGTTAATTTTTCAAAATTTTATAGAGATGAGGTTTTGCTATGTTGCCCAGGCTGGTCTTGGAACTCCGGAGCTCAAGTGATCCTTCCAATTTGGCCTCCCAAAGTACTGAGATTACAGGCATGAGCCACCATGCCCAGCTGAATGTTGCTTTTTAAATGGAGTGTGGAAGGGGTGGTATTCTGTCTTTTCCTCTGTTACCACTTTGGACATCAATCAAAGTGTTTGCCCAACACTTATCTTTGTTTCCTTCTCACTTTGTGGGTTGGGAAAGCAGATTAACTGAGCTTATTACATTACATTAGAAATGGTTTCTCTTACGATAGAGTTACAGGCTATATTAGCACACAGCTTTTCTATTAGCAATTTTAAGTGTTCAGACATTTTAACCTTATTCTCTGATGCTTGGTTACAGTTTGCATTGCTGATGCTACTTTGAAGTACACTTGATTTTGTTACCTTAAAGGCCATAAACTTGTGATATGGCTTGGGTGCCCACGCATAGACTTCCACAGAACTCTTCAAAGCAATTACCAAAAATTTGATTCTTTCATATTTTACTGAAAAAAAGTAAATAAAAAGCAAGAGAAGCACACATCAGTATCAACATGGAACTCTAAACTGTTTTACATGACTTCTGCAAACTTCATAAATACACCTCTATTCATCCATCCAAATGAGCAGGGGAAAAAATGCGCCTCACAGTTTCCTTTTCTAATTCTTTAATGTATAATCTATGCTGTTTCCATCTTTTTTGATGCTGTGTCAGGCTCAACGCTAATACACTGGATACTATCAATGAGTATCTAATCTTAGATTCCAAGTACTTTGTAATCAAAGACAATGCCAGGCATACCACCCTAAAATCTCAAAGGCTCAGTATTACTTCAAAAGGATAATGATGTGATTAACCAGCCAAGAGGCTCCTGGAAACACAGAAAGAGTCAAGTTCTTCAGTGTAGCTTTCTGCATGGGGCTCATAGACTGAGAAACATAGAAGGCTACACCAAAACACTCCTGAGCCTTGAATTCTATCAGTAGATACAAATATCTGTGCACAAGTCCCAGTGTCACTCCAGATCACTTCCTGATCTACAGAAGTAGTTAAGATTCTTTGTGAAGCTCTGCACCAGAAAAGCAGTAGTAAAATAAATCTCTTTTCAGCTATTAAAAAAAACAAAAACAAAAACAAAAACCTGCCTCCTGCCCACAGCTGTTTTGATTCCCTTACTGTCAGGAAACTACTAAAAAAACAGCTACTCATGGCCGGGTGTGGTGGCTCAAGCCTGTAATCCCAGCACTTTGGGGAGCCGAGGCAAGAGGATTGCCTGAGCCCAGGGGTTCAAGAACAGCCTGGCAATTTGGTGAGACCTTGTCTCTACAATAAATGAAAAAGACAGCCAGGCGTGATAGCATGTGCCTGTAGTTCCATCTACTTGGAAGGCTGAGGCAGAAGGATTGCCTGAGCCCAGCAGGTCGACACTGGGGTGGCTGTGAGCATGTAACTGCACTCCAGCCTGGGTGACAGAGTGAGATTCTGACTCAAAAAAACCAAACAAAAACAAACAAACAAAAAAAAAATTCAACTACTCCAAAGGGTCCGTAATCACATGTGATTTTACTGTCTGAAGCAGACCTATGATTTTTTTCATAAGTTATCTAACATCACACTACTACTTGGTTCTTTCTATGTGCACGAAAAATAACCTGATAACACTCCTTGTTAAACTCTATATATTGTTACTGTTCGGACAAATCAAATAGACATTAAGACACAAAGGCTTACAAGAGTTTGCTCAAACTAGCGCTGTTTAATAGAATGTTGTGCAATGATGGAGAGTCTCTGTATCTGCACTGCTACTATGATAGCCAGTAGACACATGGGGCTATTGGGCACTTAGGGTTACCAGTGTCACTGGGGAACTTAATCTTTTTTTTTTTTTTTTTTTGAGTTGGAGTCT